ATAGTAATTTTGCATTTTTTGCTTGATGAGTATAATTGGTGACTCAGCATTTTATAATTTTGTATACAAAAATAGTATTAGAATTTATCTTTTAAGGCCTACAGGTAGATTTCAAACGGAAGTAACCTGAATTATTGATAGAGGTACTTAGAGCTTGTCAGTTATTTTCTCGGATATCAGTGTTATGAAGTCGTTAATATATTCAGAGATTGGCGTTGTGGAAAGTGACTACGATGTGCATTATTGCACTTTATTTTCAATGTATATTTCATTAAATGTATTCTTTGATGATGAATAATATAGTTTGATGTTTATATGAAAGAGTGATGGTTCACTGGCAGAGAGATCAATTTTAGATTGCAGATGCAGGGTTCGAATTTTCCACTGTAGTAATAATTTTTCTTATCCGCGAATTCCCCTGAGCAGGTAATTAAACCAACCCTACTTCGGTTCAACCAGCCAAAAGCTGGTAGTAAGTCCGTGACTTTTCGGAAAGTAACGACGATAGCATGGTATTTTGTCATTTCGCAATGGGGTAAGTATACGCCATTCTTTCAAACGCGAACTTCCGCTCACTGTTTCAGCTGTATTTCGACCACGCTAACCTCAGGTAGCTGATTTTATAATTGATAATCATTTTAGCCTATAACTCTGATTATTATTAATTTTGTTATGTACTTCAGTCATCCCCATTTAGATCTTTCCGTACCAATGTCCGCTGTTTCAAAAATCTTCTGAAATTCTGAGTGAAGGTCGTAATGTTTGTTGAAAAAGAGATTTCGTTTAATGAAATGTGGTTGTTCGTAATAGCTTTAAATAAGTAAAGGAATCTGTTATATGGGACTTAAAAGTTTTGACCACTCTATGCGTCAGCCGGATATTCAAGAAGAACTGATCAGCAATGGATCAGAGAGATACTAGACTGAGTTCCATGACAGAGTAAACAGGCTGGCACAGGACCTCATGATCGATGATCTGAAGAAGCTCACTGGATCAAGATGGCAGTAATTGAAGTTGATCGTAAAGTCTTGAAGAAGCCTTCATCTAGCAGTGAATTGGCAAAGAATGATGATTTTGATATAAATGCGTGAATAGTGTACGCATGTATGTACATAAACATGAATGAAATGCGGATACTATTGAAATACATATACGCTACTGAGCATATGTATATGATTTAGTGATGCATATAATGATAAATATTTACTGCGCGTTTTCACTTTAAATGTGACTAAAAATTTATCATAGCTTAACTTCTAACGTGCTTAAGTTTTGCAGTTCACCTTAGCCTAAAAAATGCCTTTGGCACGTGATTTGCTTCATCCTGATCCTGAGGAGGAGAGAAGAAAATGTAAGCTGAAGCGGTTGGTTCAGCACCCGAACTCGTTCTTTATGGACGTGAAATGCCCGGGTTGTTTCAAGATCAGCACCGTGTTCAGTCACTCTCAAACCGTTGTATACTGTGCTGGCTGCAACACGGTTATATGTCGGCCTACGGGAGGAAAAACTAGGCTTACGGAGGGTAAGGTTTTGGTTTAATTACGTTAACATATGTTTTATGATCTTCACCTGGCAGCCAGTAGGTACAAATTATAACGATTTTGTTTGTTACTTTGACGTTTTTGCTGCTTCATATTTAACTGATTGCCTCATTGCCATGCAGTAACTGGTGTCTTATTGCGAAAGTATTGTAAAGCTACGATTTCAGGGGACATAGCACACCAGAGACGTTCTGGTTATGCAAACGGCTAATGTTGGTGGTCCCAGGCACCTCGATAACGAAGGGTCGAGCACACACCAACGTAGGCGATTGCACATCATGTTATCTATTTGCTGAAGAAATGGCCAAATCTATATCGATCGAAACGTCGAATAGTTGTTGAAGCAAAGCCTTTTCTTTAATGCTGTTTATTGTAACAGCAAAAGGCGTAGCGTTTTCAGTTTTCTGTGATCCGGTTGTAGATAATACGTTAAAGAAGTTACTTAATGTATTAAGTGTTTTGATTTAATAGTTAGCTCTATCGTCACCACAAATGAAACCGTCTAGTTCAAGGAAAGAGTGAAGGATCATCAGGTTACATCTGTATACCGTTGATCCATTGACTAAATGTGTTTGCGCTTGAGTTAGTGATTCCCATAGTTTTTGAAGTAAACGATTTATATTACCTTCCTTTAACCAATTTTTTTGATGCAGTGTCATTCCTTAATAATTTCAGTCTGTTCTTTTTTCTAGCCTGTGATAATAGGCGTTCCACTGTTGAGATCGTCATTCGGAACACAGAAACAGTCATAGTTGAACAGCTTGCGAATTCATTGGCATCGGAATACGAAGATAAAACGTGATGGGGTCAATTTGTAAAGAATGTGTGTATCTTCTGTCAGATAGACTCACGCAGTATTGAAAGACATAAGAAAATGAGACTGTTAGTCTTCACTTCATCACCTACTTCCCATATGTTAATCAAGGCGCAGCGGACCTTGACGACCAACAGGCAAGCGTTCAACATGGATAAACATAGTTGTAGTAGATCTACGTTGGGATAAAAATGATTGCTTCTACGGTACTGAGGGCAATGTTGACGTCATAAATGAAATGTCTTCTACGATTTGGGGTATTGATCACCAATAACAACAAGCATCTATTTGTCATGTCAGATGAGGCAATGTGTTGAGTCTTTCGTGTATTACTGACCTCTGCATTTTTCTTCACCAGTTTGTGGTCTTTAATTCGTTGGCACTTATTGGACGATGGACATTTGTCGCATATGCAGATTATATTCCTTTAGTCCTTTACTCTTTGATGTTAAGGAATGGACCAAAGTTTTTGAATCGTTAGGTGTCAGACTCGCGTCATTCGCTGTTTTTTCTTTGCTACTTTGGCAAAGGAGTACTCTTTTATGATGAGGAGATAGCAGACAATGTATTTTACGTATTGCATAATTCCTGTCAACTATGCTTTTAAAATGAGTCTTTCCTGGCAAATTACAAAGAAATGGAAATAGGCACTCTTCCTGTTAACATACTGATAGGGAGGATCCTAGAAGTATCACTATTATCACTATCTGGAAAGTATATGGAACGCTGACCGTCAAACGGTTAAAGACTGTTTTTTTGACAAATCATTTTTTACCTCGACATGCTATTGTGTTTCGTAGCAATTTCACCTGATTCTGATCGTTTGTCGTACTTTTGTTATTTAAGCTGCACCGAAGTTTTCAAATTCAGTAGTAACTGCAGCTTCCATCTGTAGTATTTGGAGTTTTGCTGAGGTGGCAAGCCTGTACTCGTAATGTGGGCATTTCCTATTTCAACGTTACCTGTCACAAGAAAGCTAAAAAAGCAACTTTCTCACTCTAAGTACTGCGGTCAGGCGGTACTTCAGTACAGAACTGTTAATTCATTTTAGTTTTACTCCTTCTGTTGCATTGGCTGTTTTTTTCTTTGTAATATTTTCCTATTCATTATCTTGTTTTCCCTTTTCTTTCTCTTCCATTTTACTTCTTTCTTTCTCCTCATTTTCTTTCATGCTTTTCCGTCATCGTCTTCATACGTTTTCTTCAATTTTCTCTTCTATTTTCTGATCTTTCTTTCCTTCATTCCTGTGCTTTTAGTAAGATTTATCTTTTGTTGCTGTACTTCCTTCAATTATCTATATTATATAGAAGTTTCTGTACATTTTCATCTCGTGCTGGCAAAGATTTAAACACTGTTGTTGCCCCTTATGTACTGTGGAAAACCTAAAAATTCAGTGGGAATCGCAAACATAATCTTGCTTATGCAAACGGTTCAAGGTTATGATCATAGCAGGTGACAGTGTCATTCAGATATTTGTGGTAACTGTTAGTATAATTATTATTATTATTTATTTCGATTGCGCTTCTATTCTATTTTATATATGTTGAAACACAACGTTTTTAGGTTGGGTTGTATTGTATAAGTAGTAAATGTTCGGCTTTTATACTGATGACAGCAGTGCAATATAAACGACGTTTGGCGCTAACAAGAACTTGTTCTGTAGCCATATACTTTAACGTCCATATTATTACGATGAATTGATGCATAGCTGCATACCACCCGAATCGGATGCTCAGCACTTGCCCCGAGATGAGTATTTCACTAAGCGATGACTCCACAATATTTTTCACCTGAAATACGTAGCCTCGTAGTTTTTTACTATTGTTCAGTGATGTCTCAGTGATAGATGATTGATTACAATAGTTTTTAGGCGGTTTATTCCTAATAAATATGCCAAATATAATCCGTCCGCTGTTTTCAGTGGCACTGTCGGACGAGTAATTCACAGAGACAAGTTGAAGAATGATTAGTATGTCTGATATTTAAAGTTAATTACGTAGGATAGTAGTATCCAAGCAAATTTTCGTTGAGTAGATAGATTTACATGCAATTTTG